GCTAGATCACTGAAAATATAAAAATGCATTTACAGAAACAGAGTAAACCTCCAAAATACTTGAAAAATGCTTGTGTGCAACTGGGGTCTGAAGCTGGAGGTTTGCTGCGATGCAGAAAATTCACAGTTCGGTTCAATACTTTAGTCTCACTGGTCGATATTTTTTATATGTTTTTTTATTTTATTTTCAAAAGGACAGCTTTCAAATGAAATGTCGCTGAATCAGCACGTTTATTGGATGCTGGACAGTGCAGCATAGTGGAGTCCAGTCACAGTTTCATCAACCAAGAAACAAACATTTTGCAGATGATGGAAGAAAAAAGGTTAAATGTTCAAATAAAAATAAAAAATCACTTTCTGTGGTGTATGTAAACATGACTCACTCCTGTTCTGTCTGCAGTGTTTCTGCTGATTCTGATCCAGAGAGAGGATTTAGGTCTTTAACCCGGSTGGATCAGAACCTGGCAGCTCTAGCAGGAGTTTCCTGTGAACATTTGTGGTGCAGAGATGACATGTTTGTACTGACACTTAAATGTGTCAGGTCAAAAGTCAGTGGTGACTTCTTTAAAAGCCCTTGAAAACAAAACGCCTGTAAACAAATAAGAAACTATTTCTGATCYTTATGAGGCTAATATAATTAGCAYAGCAGCTAACTTAGCGTTCCACTAMGATGAGCACWGAGGCTGGCTCTGTGGGCCTGCTGGGGGGCTCACAAGGTCCAGGACTTACAGAGGACATGGCTGCTGAGCAGACACCTGGTTCAGGTGTAACATTTGACACCATGCTGGAGAGGCGTCCCCTCGCAGGACAGGAAACACGTGTTTTCTCTACACCAACTGGGTTTTCCACAAATAATCTGAAACTCTACTGGATAAACTGGTTTTAATGCACATTATTGTTCATCTGAAGCCATCAGGGTCTGCGCACGAAGCCTTGCCTCTTTTTCTAAAAACATTTAGCCTCTCCAGGAGCATAAACAGCTGAACGTCTCAACAGCAGCCTGTCCTCTGGTTTAAATCATGATTTTTATTTGTTAAAAACCCTGATGTGGATCTCATATTTTTGCTAAAGTTATGTCCATTTCTAAACGTTCAGTAACCTCCTCTTGTCCTTTTTCTGGTGGAGTCCCACAAGGCTTAGTGTTAGACCCCCTACTTTTCTCTGTCTCCACTTGATTCAGAAGACATGAGTTTTCTTTCTGTCATAGATTTATATCTCTTATAAACAGACAGAAGCATGTTTTATCAATCCACTTCTTAAAGGCTAACAACCACCATTACAGTCACAAGGACGTCCTGATGCATCTCAGTAATCCAGGTAAAAAATCAAAAAGAAAACATTGTATAGGTCTTCTGGACGGGTTCTTCTTTAATGAAACGTTTCGTCTCTTCTCCAAGAGACTTCTTCAGTCTGAAAGTTTCAGCCAGCCAGTCCTCCAGGCTGTTAAGTGCCAGGAGGACTGCGACCAGTTATACATCGGGGAAACAAAGCAGCCACTGTTCAAAAGAATGTCCCAACACAGACGATCTACATCTAATGGCCAAAACTCTGCAGTTTTCACTCATTTACAGGCCAGCGGTCACTCTTTCAGAGATGAGGATGTTCTCATTCTTGATAGAGAGG